AGGCTCAGGCTCCTGCTAAGCGAGATCCAACCYTAAGTTCCATCAAAGAGGAAAAAGTCCATCTTTTGAAGTATAATATAGGAGATCTAGTGTGGTCAAAAGTGTCTGGTTTCCCATGGTGGCCATGTATGGTGTCTGCTGATCCTGTTCTTCATTCCTACACTAAACTAAAAGGTATGTCAGTGATGCTACAAACATTCAGATTTCTTCAGGGATGTGTAATGAGTGGTTTGGAAAAAATCTGTTCTTCATCTGTTCAGTTGATCAGCAACTAAATCAGCAACTTGTCAACAGGAATGTTCAAATCATGTAAATGTTATTCTTGAGCATACAGCAGTGTGTCTTTTAAGTCAGTGTTTTCTGAAAGATACTAAAATTGTGATCTGTAAAACTGTAGAGTCTTGTTAAAAAAAAACAAACTTGATGGTGTTTTCCATTGTTTTTGTGGGGATGCTTGGAGAATCGCTACAGGCTAAAAATTYTTTTAAAGCTGATGGGAATCAAATATTCCTGATGATTATGGTTTACTAAAAGCAATCTGTAATTCAGGTAGCTAAATCSTCTCAGATTCATAGAGTCAATACTGTTATCTACAGACAGTATTGGTTGATTTTAAATGCAGGAACTACCAAGTGTTAATGAAATTTTTAGGTATGAATTCTACAATTTGTTAATTTCATTTGCACTTCTGTTCTCTGTTCTGATACCTGAAATTTTCGAGGSTTAGTAGCAATAAATATTTAGACTACACATTAAGAAAGACTTGGAACTGCTGAAGGTACTGAAACATTGGGCTGGATTCCCCAGAGAAATGGTCTGATCCATTAATAAGAGGTTTTTAAGAACAAATTGAATGAATATATCTAGAATTACAGCTAGATTCAACATTGGTAGTAAACWAAATGGCTTCTTGAGAACCCTTTTGAGCATTTATAATACAATTGCTAGMATAGTTATACACTCCTCAGACAAATTTTCCTTTTAGCAGTCTTTCAGAGTTTGGATGAGGCAGTCCCTGTCATTTTTGACCTTTGGATTAGTAGCTCTATTATGATAAAAAGAGCTGGATTTTGAGATTAGGAGAGCTGTTTATTTGTTCCTAACAATTACTCTGTTCTTTGAAAGGAGTAAAGTTATGTTTCATTATCAAGAATCTCTGGTAGCTCTTTATCAGAAACTGTAGKAACAGCAAAACCCAATACCAAATGTCTGAATGCAACGTGTGGAGCACAAACAGAAAGAAGAGCCCACATACTTTGTRATGTTAACTTCCTTCTATTTCAAGTAATGTGGATGATGGCTGTTTCTCTTTTTTGCTGTGGAGTTGGTTTGGGCATGCCTTTTTCTTGAGGAATTTAGTCTGGGTCTAGCAGCAATCCTAACTTGTAAATGCACTCTCATGTGTGTATTTCCATYAGTAGGTATTTCCAGTCTTACCTTCCACCTGCTTTTTATTATTGAGRCACTATCAAAAACAGAGAAGTTCTTTCATCAAGGAGTTGTAGAAATACTGAGCTATATCTSTGTATTTTGCATTTCTAGGCTTAAGATCAAGTGTTTACAAGCAATCTGAATTTCTGGATGTTTATACTTGATACATTTCAGCTGATGAGGCTTGATAAAAATTAATAACTTTCAACCTGTGGGAAGGACTAAAGCTCCATGTCATTGAATATCCTGTCTCYTGCTGTGGTCAACCACAGATGCTCAGATACAGAGAAGCACCAGGGAAGTGGTGGGTTCCCAGAACTCTCWCCCAAACTGTCAGCAAATAGTTGTTTCAGGGTTCTGTGGGCCAAAAATTATGTTTCCCTGTGTAACAACCATTAATGAATGCCATTATTTTATCCCAGAGCATTGGTACAATTTCAGCTCTCAGAGGATACCTAAGATTCACCACTCGATTCAGTGACTCTAGTGTTAGGCACTTTCAGTCTCCTTTATTAGGCAGCTAGAACTGTACAGCATTACATTGCAAAAGGAACACAGTGTCTGTCTGCTTGGCAATGGGCTGTTGGCAGATCTTTACAGGTGGTTGTAAATGTAGTCTGTGGCATCTCTGCAGTTTGTGGCAAAATACAAACATTACCCCTTATTTCATCATGGACAGATTAGGTCATCGGAGCTCTGTAGTCTCTACTTAAACAACATTTTCTTGATGAGGACCAAGTAATTACTGTGCAAGAGAATTGTTTCTGACTATGCAACACTGAAACATGCATTAGACTACTGATTGGATGTGTGATGTTTACAATCCCAAGACTTTCCCTTTGCCTTTCCTCTAGATTCTCATACACAATCTCAGATGAGTCATTGTTGTTCCTGTTGATCTCACATATGTTTWTRTATATATGTGTATGTTTGTAATTGTTTTAAAACTTCACAGATTTATATTAAAATCTCTACCCATACCATTAATTAGGTTGATTTAATATTACCCTTCCAGATGCCACATCTTACGACAAGATCAAGCCCCTATTAGAATAAATCTTGGCTATATCACCATGAAAATAAAGTTTTTGCTAAGTCTGGAAATCCCAATAATAGTGCAAGAAGCAATCTATTAGATGTATTTGCTGATTAAGCCAGAAGACATGCAGTGTATGAATAACCTAGAAGAATCTAGACCTAATTTGAAGACACCTGTAACAGAGAATTGTGGCTGTTTATTTATTYCTACAGCGTGTCTAGTCTACGTGTTGGACATGCTGATGTGGTGGCACTGGAGGAACCACAGATGCTGTAGAGAGCATAATTGATCTAGTAGGATTGAATTTRCAAACACAGAAGTGCAGGTCATCACAGTTAAAACCTTCTTTATTTTTAAATGAGACCCTAATTTGAACACTTAGCAAATCTGGAAGTTCTAATGAGCGTGGTGTTAGAGGATCTTACCTCTGCCTTTTAGAAATAGTTAACTACGAACTCTTTGATGAATTTTGAATGTGGTGTSTTTCCCCTTCTCTGTAGAATAGCTGAGACCTTTGGAAGGGGAAGGTTGTATGTGCCTGTACGTACTACAGTGAGACAATATTCCTCTTGTTTTTCTAGGGAAAAAAGGGAAATACTTTTTTTAAGAATATGTGTTTCTTATTTCAGTTTCAAAATTGTTCTCTTATCCTTCCACCCTCCCTTCTGCCAGCCAAATCCATTATTGATTTCTTTGATTCCTGAAAAATCTTGATTAACATGGAGTTGTGATTGCAAGGGTTCAAATGAGATGATGTGAATGTCTTGTTTAAGACTATTAAAAGATAAAGTTTAGGAGGCTCAGAGAGGAAGCTGTGCACACAAGCTCTCAAAGCTGTGGAGCTTTCTGTGTTGAGAAATGAATGCTCAATGCATTTTCAGAAACACCCAGACCTACATGCAAGTTAATATATGTGGAAAACTGACAGGTGATTAGAACCTCTAAGGAAAGAATTAATTTAGCCAGCCATGTTCTTGCTGGGAATTAAACCGTTGAGCTTTTGGGTCAAACTTCATACATTGTATCTCAGAGACTTTCAGTCTGGATAAGTGGGTTTTTGAAAGGTTATCCAGTTTCATTGTGCTTTTGTTATGGCAACTGTAGCAGCTTACAGACTTCTAGTTTAAAAGTGCAGAGAACTACCTGAGTTGTATCTTGAATTCACGTGGTTTTTATTTTCAGGACAGAAAAAAAGTTTTCGCCAATATCATGTTCAGTTTTTTGGAGATGCCCCAGAGCGAGCCTGGATATTTGAGAAGAGTCTGGTGCCCTTYAAAGAAAAAGACCAGTATGAACACTTATGCCAAGAGAGTGCAAGACAAGCCCTCACTAAATCAGAGAAAGTAAAGGTAAGAGGTTATCAAATYAGACAAGATTGCAGCTTTTTATTTTAGCATTACAGGTATGTACAGATATAACAGATAGAAATAGTTATTATAGAAAGCTTAAAGGCAGCTTGTTTTACAGGAGTTTGCAGTGTTACRTGTCATTTACAGATGCAAAGTATGGGGTGATTTTCCACTGTTTTGTAACTCAGTCAAAATTAGTACGGTTCTGCTTTGTCATGGATTTGTGCATGCTGTCAGTACTATCAAATACAGCACCATTTGAATTTTAACTTACAGATCTGCGTGACACTTAGTCTCTTGGAATTGTTTTGGGTTGATGTCAACATTTTGAAATCAAAAGTGTGCAGATTCCTCACACTGTTGTCTCCTCTTGCAGATGCTAAAGCCCGTGTCAGGGAAGCTGCGGCCACAGTGGGAGATGGGTGTGAAGCAAGCCAGTGAAGCAGTGAGCATGACAGTGGAGGAACGCAAGGCCAAGTACACCTTCATCTATGTCAGGGACAGACCTCATCTTAATCCTCGAGTGGCAAAGGAGGTTGGCATTGCTGTGGAACCCTTGGAGGAGATGGATGAGTCATCCTACTCAAATGAAGAAACCACTCCAAATCTGAAATCCATGAAGGAGTCTGGCATTCCTAGCAAGAGGAGGAGAAGGACATCAAAACTGTCTGCTGCTGATGATATGCAAGARAGCAGTCAGTTGGAGGATAAGAATACTACTCCTCAAAAGTCATCTGAACAGGCAGAATCCAAAAGAGGGATAGGSTCCCCTCTCAATAGAAAGAAAACTCCAGCATCTACTCCACGAAGCAGAAAGGGCGATGCAGTATCTCAGTTTTTGGTCTTTTGTCAGAAGCACAGAGATGAGGTTAGTCTCRCTGTTGTTGATTTCCTCTTCTTACTTCTGTACTTGAAAAAGCTACTTTTGAAAAGAAAAAGTAATTATTACTGCACAATCCATAATATTCTGGATTTGATAAGGTATGCTTCCATCAAATCTTAYTCTAGGCAGAAATAGGGAAAGAAGGGAATGTAGGTGAGCAATATGAACAAGGTGGTGATACTGCCTTTGTACTTCAAGCACAAGTTGGTTTAGTGTCTTCCCACAYTGTCTAGTAGTCCTTTATATTAGCCATAATTTGTATTTAATATATGGAAAATATCACAGACATGCATACATACATGCTCAGGCAGGTGTAATACCGATTATGCTGTTTATGGCAATCTGCTTGTAGATAGCTTTTACATTCTTTCTAATGTAAAGAGGCTGATTACTTCTGTATGTTCCCTTACATTACATTTGAACACTGCAAAACTTCTTACTTAACAGGAACCGTTTGGTGAGCTTCAAAAGAAGCTACTTCCCAGAGTTTGTGAAAATCACTGTCAGTGTGTTCAATTTGCTGGGACAAAACTAGGTCCTCTTGAAGCACTTATACTCCAGTACAAGGTAGAATAAATAAATACCTTAATGTCAGCATTTTTTAGGAAGGCTGTTAAAAGTGTAAAAGCAGTACTGCTGGTGTAGCTCATTACTTTAAAATCATTACCATCATYTTTCTTCCTTACAACCTTCTGCTYCATTTGCAGTACTACTCCATGATCTGAAGCTTGTGTGATTTCTTATCTAGCTAGTGTTTTCTTGTGTTATTACATATTGCTCACAGAAAGATCCGAAGTTAGCGGTGACTTTGTCAATACTCTTTAGCTACTGAATGGTTGACTTTGTTGTAGCATATTTCTATTACAAAAACACTAATAGATGTTTTGGTTTGAAATATTGGTTTGAAAGACAGGTGTCTGCCCAGGAAGGCAGGAACCTCCCTTGGAATAGAGAATATGACCCCTCCTTCCCTCCGAATTATTGTAACTTTGAAATCGAGGGGGCTTTCAGGCAAAGATATGGGAAAAGGAGTAGCAGTTCCTTACCAGGATRTATAACAAGGCAAACAAACATCAACGGCAACAACAACAAACAAGCCCAGCAGAAACGCGGTGCAGCCTCCTCTGGTCGGGGCCGCTCGCCCCTGTGGTGCAGTTGCGGTCACAGCCGGCAGGGGGCGCTGTGGCGCGGGYTCAGCCGCGTCTCTCCCTCACGCGGTGATGGCAAAGACCGCCGGCGGGAAAAATATGGAAGAGGAGATTCCTTTACAGCCTCACAGGAGGCATCCTGTCCTGGTGCCCTCCCAGATGGGGACACAGGCTGCAGCAGGGGGTTTTGGGGCAGCAGCACGGGAGCTTTGGAGAAGGGGCTGTCTCGCCCTGGGAGTGACAAACAAAAAGTAGCAGACACTTGGCAGGGGGGCATGCCCAAAGCCGCAGGGTATCGAGGTATTGGGTTATAGTGCAGCAAAAAGCCCTGAAGCAGGGGCAGAGAACGGCGGGGCCGGGCAGGGGATTGCTCCCTGGGCAGTTCACCAGTGATCACTGCTTCCTGGGTCTGGGTTGTACAGATGGGGCGGCCCCTGGTGYGGAACGGGGTATTCTGGGGTCTGGGCACAGCAGGCACTGGCKCTGGGCTCCCAAGAAGCAGRGAAAGCAAGCCAGTRAGCTCCAGTCACAGTGCTGAAGGGAAAAGGGAGGGGRAAAAAAGGGGAAAAACCAAGTGGCAACTGTATCTGTCAGGAGAGCCACAGTAGCGGGTGCCTCCCAGAACCAAAATCCTCCTCAGGAAGAGAGAGAAACAGCGGCCTCCCGCCCTCCCCTAATTCCCGCAAGAAATCTCGGTCTGGCTGTCAACCATGGTGATATCCCAGGGACGGGGGTAAGGGAAGCAGTGACCATCCCGGGMACAAAACAAAACAAAAGAAAAACCAAACCAAAAATACCCCAGAGATGGGATGGGATAAAAAGAGATCKCCAAGACAGATGTAAACTTTACAAAGAAATATTGAAAAGCAGATTCTGTTGTATAAAAGTCAATTATTTGGAGTTCAACTTGGAATCTTACTAGATCATTGAAATGTAAGCTTATATTGAGGACGAAAATGAGCACAGTGTTAGATAAACCTTTTAGTGGCTTTTATTAAAATGAGAAAAGCATTGGCATTGCAGTTTGCTGGCTCTGGAAAGGAAATGGTTTTGTAGCCAGACCATTAAGTACAGATTTTGACRTATTAATTATGAAAAGCTGTATGGGTAAATCATCTGTCTCATGTTGGAGGCGCATGAGTTCTATTTACGATTCTTCTGTAAGAGAGCGCAAGAGGGAATTTCCTTGGCCTTCAGTATATATAGCAAGAAGTATTGTGCAATAATGAGAGACATAAAATTGCTGCTCTGGAAGAAATGAGATTATGATGGCTGGCTTTTTGGACTGTTAGCCAAACATACCTTGCAAAGAAGAGATGTATTGAKTCTATGATATTTCTATTTTCCATGCCAGTTGTCAGGCTTTGTTCCCTACTGTGGTTATACTGTAATTCTCAAATAATAGACAGAAAATATGAAGACTAGCAGAATATATGAAATTGAGGAAATGCTTTGTCTTCAGTGCCATTTCAAGAAATTGAAAAGCTTTCCTAAACTTGAAATTTACACTGATGATAGTGGTTAATGTTGCATAAAGTTTAAGGAGAATGAAGTAAATTAAAATATATTACATATATGTAGAGAGAGGACATCCTACCATTTCTGCCTAGAATACCTTTTAATATGACATGAAAACGCAAATCTGCCTGAACGTGTGATCCCTTCTAGCAGGTACAGAAACACTTCTGTTTTGATGTGTTGTAGATGTTCTGATGCTTTAGAAAAAGTAATTATGTTGGCTGAAAAACAAACCTGGTTTTGAGCTACTTGTGTCGGTGGCATTGGAGCGTTTAGTGTATGGCTGTCTTATTATCTGCATGTAGAAACTTAGAAAAGAGGAAAAATACAAACCTAGAAGAGGCTCTCTGGCCCGTTTTGGGAAGGGGTGGAAGTGAAAGGACAGGCTGAAGGCTTCTCTTAATAATCATAAGTTCTGTTAAAAGTAGAGCCATTTCTGCTGTCTCTTGCTTGGAGTCAGGCTTTGTGTGGCAGTAGGATTCATACGTCRGTTTGATTTTGTTATTATTTAACTGCTGGAGAATGTTTTTAATAATTTAAGAGGCACACTTCCCATCCCTGAGGGAGGTGCTGAAAGCTCGGAGCACTTTTGTGGTTGTAGTGACGCATTAAGTATTTTGCACTGTTACCAGAGGAGTAAAGATGTATTTTGTACTATTGGCATTCTAATGTTCTTTYCCTGTGAAAAATATAAGCCTAGTAATCGTCAGAAGGAAGTGTCTGACTGGAGATAAAGGTATCATTCAAGTGAGAGRCAGACAGCTACACTGTTTACATTGATTGATTTGGGCCTTGAGTCCGTTGTGGGGAAAACTGAGGAATAATTTCTTTAGCAGGGAGACCTTGGAGAAGACTACTGAGCATTTTCCTTGGAAACCTTATTTGCAAGGATTTCTTCACCATTAAGAATTATGAGTGTCTTTTCCTTGTCATTTCACATTACTCCTAGTCAGTTGAAATTTTTATTTTTATTTTGTTGAGACTGGAGGTAATATGTGTTTCATTTGTCTGAGTAAATCTTGTTATTTTTTGGAGTACTGAATAGCTCTGTGCCCTCACTGAGCACAATGATGACCTGTACATTTGTGGCAACAGTCAAAACTGGTGGTTATTTMATTTCCTGAAGAAGTGAGATTTGTGGGAGGGAGTGTCTTGTGGGTTTATGTTCCTCTTTTTCAACAATGTGAATTCAATTGTTGGATTTTAATCAAACTTGGAGTAGAGGCTTCCAAGGGTAGTTGTATTCCTCAAGCCTTATACAGATGGATTATGCCAATTAGTAGCAAAAGAATTCTTAGTACTCTACTAGGAAACAAATTAAAGCATGGCTTTCCATACTACACATTGACAAATTCCAATGGGAAGAAGGTACTACTACTATTTTTATACCTGGAAAAGCATCAGTCATACTTGCATCCTACTGTATAATTGGAAATGTAGATTTAAGACCCCAGATTCTAAGAAATTAGGTTTAATCATTTCACCTTACCAGAAGAATTTTATTTCTGTTCTGTTGAATGGTGTTACTCTGAAAAATTGGCTTTCYTAATCTAGTTTTTGTTTTGCTTTGTGTTTTTGGGGAGTGAGTTGCAGTACTCAGGATTTTGGAGAGTGCTGGGTAATAAGATGAGGAGGATTATTTTWAAAGGTAGTATTTAATTTCTTTACAATTGTAGCGTTTTTTGACTTCTATGATAAATGTGATTTTTCYTAAGTAGAAGTACGGGTATATTGCAGGAGTTGGGGAGGATTTTTTTCTTTCTTTTTAATACAGTATTTTTCTCCTGTTGAATAAACTTCTAGAAACTCTGTTTAACTCCATGTTGATTGATACTATGTGTCTTCCTTATAACATTAAAAAAAGTGCACAGCTTGTGAGTTCTTAGTGCTCATATGAGTAATACAAAAATGATGAATCAATACAGGAAAATGTTGCATCAGATGCTAACTTGTGTAAATCTGTCTGCTGAGATAGGTGTTTTGAGTCCTGTGATTGATGAGTTTTGCTATGAATTGATGGATTTCTTTCTAGGCAAGCATATATTCCCATATTGCTTACCGGTCGTTTGTAGTATAGATTTAAACTTGCTTGAGAAAAAAGACACTTTTTTTTTAAATGACCACAAGACAAGATTTATACTTAATCAATTTTTTGACTGTTAAAAGGCAAATAGATACTTCCAAAATTAGTCTTAATACTTCTGAATAAACTAGTGGATTTTTTTTAAGGCACAGAGAGAGGAGTGGTTATTCAGAGGCAAAACTGGATACAGAAAGTTTTATTCTAGTTCTGTCTACAGCAGAAATATTAGGTAACTTGTTTGTATCCAGTTTTCCAAAGTGATGGAAGTATGTACACCATTCTTACCAATGGTCACCTTTTTTTTAATTCAACCCTATTTCTGCGTGTATAGGTGGTTGCTGAACATCCAGATGCTTCAAGTGAGGAGATTGAAGAACTGCTCGAATCGCAGTGGAACATGCTTAGTGAAAAACAGAAAGCTCGCTATAACACAAAGTTTGCCATAGTGACCTCTCCCAAATCTGAAGAAGACTCTGGTAAACGTAAAACTGTGCTAGTGTACTCTAACTAAATTTGATATACATAGTGGCGTTAAACTAAGCACATATTTGAGACCCTGTAGGGAAAACAGCTTTCACTGTTTTCCAGTTTTAATTCTTGGTGTTTGTGCCAATAGCAAAGGAATGCCAATGGTTACAATAAACGCAACCCATGAAGTCTACATTTCTTGCTCATTGTTCTGAAAAGTTGTTATATGTAAACCTTCTGCTGTTTAGACATTGCTGATTTCTCATTCTTCTTCTGCCCATAAGCAGCTGCCATTGCATCCACTGCTTGTTACAAGTGGATGGTGGGAAGGGAAGATGAAGTGTTACTACTAGTAAAATTTGAGATGTTTTTATAGAACAGTTAGAGATGGTTTAAAAAATTTAATCAGTTCTACACCTTTTCTTCATATATACCTAAAGTGTTTTACTTCACATCATCCACTCAAGAAGAACTATTCCAAACTTTATTCTGAAACTTTCATCCATTTGGCATTTTATTGTGCTACTCAAACTTTTTAGGACTTTGTACAAGATTGCAAATACTTAATTTTTTTCTCCTTTTATTTTTTTGTTGCTGTTTTTGGTGTTTGGTTTTGATGAACAGTCTCAATTGTTTTGCAAAATATTTGAGGGGGTTTGAAGTCACTTGTTTGAGAAAGGAGGAGGAAGATAGTTTTCCATTTGTGTGAACTTGATAAAATTTACCTAGCTGTCTTTTTTCAAATTTAAATAGCTTTACAGCACTGTAAGAAGACTTACTATGGAAGTATTAGAAGCCAACAGGTGCTGCTTTGGGCAATGACAAGAATGAGAGGGAGTGTTTGAAAGTTTGTGAGACTTGGAAAAACTTGTATAAAAATGGCAGTGAGTTTTGTTAACTATCTGTGTGTGTGTGAAATAACATCATTTTGTGGAAAATTGAAAAGTTTTTAACTTTAAATTTTAAGTGTTAAATATTTGGATATCAGTTTAAAAAAAAACCACATTCTGTATCTCTCAAGGTTCATCATTGAAGAATATTGGAGAGGCCAAACGTAAAGTGTTTCAAGACTCACCTAAAAGGAGATCAAGATCCAGAAGTAATTGAAATTTGTGTTGTGTGCAAATAGCTCATCATTATAAGTAGCTATTGAGTGTATTTTTTTATGTAATCACCCACGTATCATAATCTCTTTATTTTATCTCAGATGTTGTCTTCCTTGACATTAGAACTTCAATGGATCCCAAATTAAATATCTTAATGCTGTAGTGCTGAATTTTGTTCACCTTCCTCAGTGTCATATTGCAAGAAATGTAATTGAAATTGTACCTGTACCAGGTGTTTCTAGTACATCTATTGTGTACATTTATAGTTACCTACAGATGAAAATATGTCAGTTCAATTGTTCCCCATCTCAAATCTTCTTATCTTAAACTTGGAAGAATATTGTGGGATTTCTTCTGCTGGCTTTTTGTAAGTAGCAGGTTCTCCTGGAGCCATTTCAGTCTGCTTTGTGGATTCAGTATGATCACAGAATATGTCCTAGATTGTTTAGAGAGGAACATTATTTTGAAAATTATGCTTATTTTCAAGTTGCTATATTTTTAATATTTACAGAAACTTGTTCCCACCGAAATAGAATGCTTGTAGCTGTAGGACAATTTTCATTTGACATATTTGTGCCCCTGGAGCTTGAAATTTTCATACTTATAATACTCCATAGCTTCATAAACTAGAGAGTACTGGACAGTGTAATTATGTTKTCATTTCATCTTGATGRAACAGAGCAYTTCCCAAACCCTCATCTATCTTGTTGAGGTGGAAACAGTAGTGGAACCTTTGGCAGGGGTATGCAGATTACTCACTGACCTTTTGTATTTAGCAGCTGCTTGAACTTGAYAGTGAACAATCATCTGAATAGATGAATAAGTTTATGGTCTAAAATGGCCAACGTGGTCCTGTTCACAGGATTCTGGTTTATAAAAGGAAGGGATCGTATGGTCTCCTGTAAAATATAAGTAAGCTTGCTAGAGTTTGGCATTGCCATACCAAAAAGAGAATTAATCTCTACARTTGGTGATATCTTGTCTTTTTCAGAGGCCCCTTAATAGATGTCACCAGTGTCTTCATCTGTACTGCTTGGAGAATGTAAAGTAGGCTTAAAGAGGAGACTTAGAAATTAATTTTAGTGATAAGGCGCTGTTACAATGTGGCAGGAGAGTCAAAAGCTGTATACATAAATCACATKCAGTCTGACCATATGAAATAAATGTTGGGCAGTAACATTCAGATCATTAACTAGTGCTTGTACCTGTAGATTCATCATTGTAAAATAACGATGAAGCAGTTAATTTGGATGTGTTCTAGTTAAATCTTCACCAGAAACCAGGTCCTAAGCATTAAGGGATCATCCTACTGTTAAAGTTAAACCATGTTTTAAAAATAATGACTGAAAGGAAAGTACCTTAAATAACTAGATCAGTTCAAAATAATTTCAAAGTGGGTTTTAGATTATTTTTCATGTAAGTTTCCCCCATCCCCCATCCCAAGGTAATTTACATGGAAATAAAAGAAACCAAAAAAAGAGGACAAAGGAGCCTACAGAAGATTTTGAAGTTCAGGAAGCACCTAGGAAAAGACTCAGGATGGATAAACAGAATAATCGGAAGGTAATTATGTTGTTGGTTTGTTGGGGTTGATTTATAGCAGCACCAGTCGCATTGCTGTAGTTAAGTTTGTCAGCATTTCCATTTTCAGGATTTAAAAAGAGGTGTCCATATATCATACCAAAATGTCCATATTCAGAGATACATATGAGTTTACCACAGTGGGATGTTTTCCCTTTGTTTTGAGGATTGAGTTGCTACTTAAACTGTTTCTCAAAGGAATGTGCAGAGGGAGGCATGACCTCTCTATGTTGTTTTGCTTTGTAGTTCTTTTTTCCTCCTGATTTGTAGTTAGTCTTACCAAATTGTAGAAAAAATGTCTTTGGTCAATAGTTACTGTAGACAAAAGGAGAGAGGAAATCAAGTAAAATGAAACAGAAAAACTGCTTTTCATGAACTGGAAGGCTACAGGACATTCTGGTGTGGCATGCTGACCCATTTCTTAGATTAGTAAACGGCAGCAAATTTATATTTATGCAGTAAAAGTACATTTATCACACAAATCACAGGCWCCTTTTCTGGTTAGCTTGCTTGTGAGAGTAAGAATTTTCCTTACATAGGTCACTGTGTGTGTRGACACAGCACAAATCTTATGGAGACTTAGGCATAGGTTTATTTAGTCATGCATGTAGAGCAGTGATTTTCATGGGTTAACTTGTGAGGAAAGCTTAGCTCACACACTTTTTCAAATGTGTTATTGCAGTATCGTACTGTAGTGTGAATACTATAGGCCTAATCTCAGAACTTCAGTAGTACAGCAATCAAATGAATCAACCTAACAGAAGGAAAGGTAATAGATATATTTTTTAAATGAGTTATGGCAGTCTTATCTGTAAGTGTCAATTTGTTTGGTAGGTCGGTGATTTTTCTGCTTCTGTTGATATTGTAGATATTAAGGCAATTTGTTGTCTTAGGAGTTKGATATTAAAAAATAAATAGAATTTCCTGCAGACAGGCTTAATGAGATGATTAGCAAGGGACAGTGATAATTGTTTATGTTGTTACCTTTGCAGAAAGATGGGCCAGAACTGTTTTTGCACTTTTTGCCATAATGAGTTAGTCATTGAATATTCATATATTTTAGGAGCAGTTTTTGAAACCTTTTAAAACTTGTCTAATTGATTTGAATGAACTATTATACACTAGATCCATGGAATAATTAACTTGACTTATTATAATTAATTCCTGTTACAAAGTCCTTCTTTTGACTGTTCTACAGGTACTTTTTCTACAGGTACAAACAGTGTTGTCCCACCAGCTTTTGTGCACTACAGTTAGCCTACATTCTCACAAGTAGGATTAAAGGTGGTTGCAGTAGTTCATGCATGGGAGGTTCTGATATCTTTGGTGCTGTGACACGTGTGTGAACATATCAGCAGAAAAATAAATAACCAAAGGAGGTGAATGAGTTCAGTAAGATACATAGCACTAATGAGGCTGATTTAGTAATGTGCGTTTTATAAGGGTTGTTCTCTATCTGCTCAGTTTATCAGAACTGGTTACAAGGGGTCTGATGTGTGTGAGTATTAGGTAGTTTGGAAACTCCAAATGCATATAGCAGGGCTTGTGCTACACAGAAAGGTCAGCTATGGTTTGCAGTTTGTTTTAGGAATTATCTTGTAGTCTTTTTCCTGCCTTCACAAGCCCAAGGCACTTCCAGCTGTATGTGCGGCCACTTAGTAGAACATTCAGTGAAYGACAGTGGACATAACTATATAATGATCCAAAAAAGGAAACACTAACCATACATCTTCCTTCTGCTATTTCCAGTTTAACTGCAGGCTTTAGTTAAAATCATTTTGGATAGGAGGAGCTTTAATTTCATGACATTTGCCTTCTCGCACAAGAATTGTGGGTTATACTCTCCCTTTGTCCTTAATTCTTATTTACTAAATCAGAATGTTTTCCCGTAGCGTAACTAAGTACCGATACAGAAGTTTTGAAAAACTAGTTTGCTCATTGTTGCTTTGATGATGTATATATAATGCACATTAACAAAATGGGGGTTCTGTAAAGTGTGCTTTAAATTTGAGAGTGAACTATACTGTACATTTTCACAGAATCACAGAATCCTTAGGATTGGAAGGGGCCTCTGGAAATCATCCAGTCCAATCCCCCTGCCAAGACAAAGTCATCTAGAGCAGGTTACACAGGAATGTGTCCAGGTGGGTTTGGAATGTCTCCAGAGATGGAGACTCCATGACCTCTGTGGGCAGCTGTTCCAATGCTCTGTCATCTCAAAGTAAACAAGTCTTCCACATGTTGAGGTGGAACTTTGTGTTTTAGCTTAYAGCCTTACTCCTTGTKACTGGGCACCACTGAAAAGAGTCTGGCACCATCCTCTTGACAACCTCTTTTCTTCAATTTTTACCTAGAAGTGTAACAGTAATCTTAGAAAACTGATGCTGGGAGCCTCTGGTGGAATTGGTGGTAGGGCAGATTAGTCTGCTTAGAGCTCAGTGAAACCACAGTGTGGCACATGTGTAGTACGGTAGCCATTTGTGTTCATTTTTACAAAGGAAATCAGTTATCTGACCTCTGAGGTGTTCACCTGCATATCTTTGGTAAAACTAATTGTCAGATGGAGACTGAAAAAGCATGTAGAGCACCAAAAATGTGTGTAAAACCTTCTGTTCAGTACAGTGGTGCTTATTGATCAGGTGAGCATGTGTCAGGGGTAAGCACTCTCAGCTACACTTTCAGTAATTTGAATGAATCTATAACATAAGAAAAGGAAAAAATAGTGGCATGTGTGAGGAACAATGTCTTAATTTTGACTAAGAGATCACAAAAACTTTTCTGGTTTTTGGCCTAAACTTTTAATCATGAATTCTCAATCTGGTGCAAATTTAGGTGGTGTTTATTCTCCCTTGAAAATAGTGGTTTTATTTTGGAAATGCTGAAACAATCTTAACCATAGTAATTTTAAAAATGGCACTGCTATAAGTTGTGGAGTTGAAAGCAAGCCTCTCTGAGATTTCTAGTTCTGCACAGGGCTTACTCTCAAATTTATATACTTATTCTGCAGTTTACCTTTAATAATTAAAGGTTTTAATGTGACCAGTTTGTACAAAGCATAGTAAGGATAATTTACAAGTTTTGTGTTTATTTAGCACTCCCCCTTTTGCTATGGTGAATTTGGGATGGATAAGTGGGATGCTGAAATACTGTTCTTTAATTTTTCTCATTTGTTTATGGGTTTGTACCCTGTGCTGTAAATGAGTTTTAAAATTCATTTCAATGGGGCTAGCTTAACTACAGTACCATTCAGATATTTGTAAAGACATTTTCTTTTTAATAACATAAATCCAGAATTAATTGCCAGTTGTATCCAACCAYTCATAAATTAGGAGGTTTTTTATTTTTTCATATTTTTTTTTGTGACAGAGGGAGACAAGCAATGACAAAACAGCAAAAACAAACTCTTCTAAGGTCACAGAACCCTCCTCTTCACTAAAGAACCAGTCAGGTAATGTGGTCAGAATAAGTTTTAATGTCACTTTTTCAGTTAAATAATTTTAAACTGCCTGAGGCAGCTGGCTAAATTCTGCTGACTCAATGAGCTGTTGCAGGCACTGTGCCACAGCTGGGGGGGAGCCCTGTTCCTTCACTGCCCTTCTGCAGCTCGATCCTGGACTGAGATTGTGCGTTGCTGATTGAGAGCAGCAGTTCACAAGTTCACCGTTTGATGGCACCAGATTAAAGCTGGTGCCCSGAGATCTTGGCGAGCAGGGAGCAAACCCTRCTGCTCCMGTCTGCCTGGTGCACTGGCCCAGTTAAACAAGTGCAGTTACTGTCAGTGTCGTCAGGTACCCTGGGGTTTTTAGTCCTGCTAAATGATGCTTGATGGGAGGCAGTGTGGAGTATGACAGGGAACTTTATAGAACCTGGGATTGAAATGCCAAAGTCAGACTTGTTAAGGATGCTCGAGTTTAAGGTAACTTCTGTCAGAGCATGTAACASGTGTTACAATGATATGCCAAAGACAAGCGAGCTTCAGCAAGTTCTGCACGGTGTATGTGCCATAGCTAATGTGTGGTACTTGGCTCCTGTGTAGAAATTTTCTCTTAATAAAGTGTTAGTGGTACTCAGATTGTGATGAGATCATGTAGGTCTTCTGATATAACTGTTACCTCTGCTTTAAAGGGGTCTTAAGTCACAAGATACTTTGATAGTAATAGAAATTAGATTATGAAAAATGGGGAAAACATCTCTTAGTACATACATGGTTAATGGAAACTTCTTTATTTTTAAAACCAAGCCAAAACACATGGCCTCAGAAACTTACTTCATGTTAGCTCAGTCGTGTGTAGGTGACCAGAAGATCTACCTAAATAATTCCTTCCTCTGTCTGAAGGAATATTTTAAATGGCTTCAGGGAGATAACATTTTAAAGTTCCAAACTTCACTTTGTAAACCAAAATTATTTTACAGCAACGAAAAATCTGTCTGATGCATGTAAACCTCTGAAGAAGCGAAATCGGGCTTCAGCAGCAGAATCTTCAACTCTTGCTTTTAGCAAGAGTTCATCTCCTTCAGCTTCCTTAACTGAGAATGAGGTAAAAAAAAAGTGGTGTTTGCACACAGCCATTTAATTACAGAAATGAATCTTGTTTTAAAAAAAAAAAAAAAAGCAAAAATCAAAGGCAAATTCTCTAACGTTGGTGCTCTAGACAAGTTACAGTTTTGGCCTCTGTGAAACCTGTTAATGTGTGCATTACAAATTCATTTATTGTAACACGAACGTCTGATATGGGGGACATCGAGATATTATTGTGGTTTTTAATGTATTTACCAACAACGTTTTAGAATTGTAACCTATTAGAGGCAAAGTAAAATGCCAGTGTGTTCTGTATTTTCTTCTACAGACTTTTATGTAAGTGTACTACATTAGTTACATTATGTAACTCAATATTGTCATGTTGCCATAGCTTTTATATCAAAACAAATTTCCTAATCTTCTGTTTGATCTAGAACTGGAAACTCCTCTGAGCAGAGCCCCTTTTAACTCAAATTAGTTTTCAGGCTGTTTTAGTGTTATTTCTCTGTGATGCAAATAGCTCCATGTCCAGTAGAGTTAAACAGGCAGTGAAGGATGTATCTTTTTGATACTTACTAATTATAGTTCTAGCTCTGCGTGTTTGGAACTGTAATTCTTTTCAGTTGACATACAATAAATGAAATGTATGTACCGGAAGTGCAGTGATACCATCCATTAAACCATTCCCCAAGTCATCTACACCGTTAAAACCAATCAGCCAAAGAGTGTCAGCATGAGGGTGAAGTATGCATGCTGTTTTGCAGGTGGGTTTGGATCTGTAGWTGGTAGGATTTAGTAAAATATCCATAGACAAACAGCTTCACCCGGTTTGTATTACAAAAGCTGTAGAGAAAATACTTGCCTGCTAACAAGGGAGTAGGGCTTCCAGCTCCTAGAGATTTTCATCTCCCCTAACAAATGCATGAGGTGCTGTAATGAATGCAGTTAAAATATCTAGGCAATGTTCAGTAAACAGTTTACCTTTGGGTAGGGAAAAAAGATTGCATGTTAATGGCTGTGTATCTTAACTGTAACTGGAAAAACATTTTAACTGAAAAAAACCCAATAAATACTCCTTCCTGTACCCCAATAAAACAAGCAAAGAAAGTCCCACAGAAAATAATGTCCATAGCAGCAGCCAGATAAAATAATACTTCATTTTCTTGATTGAGAGGCTCTCATTTTTTTTTCTTATGAGCTTCTGCTGGATTGACTTTGCTGATGGCTCTTGCTGTGTAATGGCTGTTTCTATTTGGGACCATCTATTAAGCCAGACTAGTTTAAGGAAAAAACTGTCTTTTTTGGCTCAAAATACACATCTCTAAATATTGTGCATTCAGGAGAAAGACTCTTCTCTTTCTAGAGATTGTGATTATAAAATGGATTATTCAGAAGTCTTTCTTAAGAAAAGGCTCATTTTTGTAGGATTTTGCTTAATGGTTTAATTTAAACTTAATGGTTTACATGTAAGGAAGGATATGGTTATATCGTACATATGACTGAGATGGAAATTYTCAAAATTAGCACTAATTTACTCAGCTACTGCTAAACAGTAAAAGATGTGAGAAAAATTAACATCATACACTGCTCACAGAACRCAGATACACAAACTAGAAAGTGAGTTAATTGTTTTCAAAGGGTTAAGTTAACAAAAGAAAGTCCCAGACAGCGTAACAGAAAACACACATTGTTAAATAACAGATTTTGAGAAAGTGGGTGCAGGGGAAAGATTAGTGGACTAGGTCCTTGGATTGGTTAAAGCTACACTGACCTGAACTTGGACCAACTAAGGATTGGGCCCAGTTTGTTTCCTCTRTTAGATATATTTGGGTTCAAATAAAAATGTCCGGCATGATTTTTGAAATTAATATTGACCTGTTCTACAATACAAGGAAATTTTGGATTGTGTGGGTGGCTCTAAAAACTTGTTTTTTCCCTTTTGTATTTTTATTTAGCACTTTTCTAAACAGCTAAATATATGTGTGTCCTGAGACATTCATCTGGAGAGAAACTTTCCCAGTATTAAGGGAAAGATTTAAAAAATAAACACAGTCAGGTAATGATGAAAGCCTTGCACAGCTAATTGAATAGGATATAACTCTTCTCAACATKAAATAGATTTAACGATTAACTTTCACATTTCTGTGTTCACTATAATACTTCTAAGTRTTGGTTTAGGTGCTTTCTTAACAAGTATAGGAAAAACTTTCTGTATTCCACAAGCACATACATCTCCACAAGGTGTATATATGAGGATTCCGGTCTTTTTTTACCTCCTCTCCGTTCTTTTTCTCCCATACTCTTTGTGGACAGCTTGTTCCAGAATGGAACCTGGATGTGACTGTTACTTGTCCAGAACCATTGTTAGCTGCACACCCCTCAAATGTCTGTCCTTTAYGACCAGGTTCTAGGAATGGTGTGCTCAGTTCTTTCTTGTTTGAAAGATGCATCTTATTTGACATTTTCAAAAATATTTTTAACGTTTTTTGTTGGTATTGGGGGATATTTTTTAAATGGGGTGTATTTGAAATACTGTAAAATCAGGCAAGGCTAAATTTTCAGTAGATAAATTACTTTGGGGGAGAGATAAGAGTGGRGATGTGGACTTGTACAAACAGATTTATAGACATGACATACTAGAGATTAAAGGTTCACTCTCTTCAAAAAATTGGATTTAGAAGTTGTTTTAGGATGGGTGGACGGAAGCAGTAAAGTGTTTGTATAAGAATAAATAATTTCATACCAGCATTTAATTTTGAAGTAAAATAATTTTACTTTTAGGCACTTGACACCAGTAGTAATTTCTTCCAGTACTTACGTGAAATATGATTTTGTTAAAATATAATTCTTAATGAGCAACTGGTAGGGCCAAATGTGAAAAAGATGCTGAACACTTTGGAGTCTGCAGACGCTTGAAGTAGTTTTTTACTGGCTATGTAAGACTTAGTGTAACCATCCAAAAGCACATGATATTTGTGAGAAGATATACAAGTGGTATATTTTAATTTCTTTTTTTACTTTGGCCCTCCACCCCCCAATAATAGGTGCCAGTAAGAGTGTAATCAGTATTTTTTTAATAAATAAAAAGGACTTTACCATTACTGCTGGATTATTGGCACACTTGGTGTGTTTGCATGAAACATATCTGCTTTAGTTTTTCAATCAATTTTTGTGATTTATTGTCTGACTTTATTAAATTGGATGAATTTATTGACAGCAGATAAATGTCAAAGTATCGTGCAGACCATAGGTACTACTTATGAACTTTGTCAAAGAAACTGTAATCTTTTCCTAAGAGAAGACAAAATAAAGCACATGTAATACTCTCTAAGTTAGCCAGCCTGTCATTCATCACACTCTCAAGTCTGAGCTGACCAGCAGATGGCAGCTTAAAGAAGCCTGGGGAAGATTTGAAGAGGTGCTTTWATTATCATTTCCTCACATCTTCCTTAGAGGAATTCTTTCTTCCTTCTGTAACACCCAGTGTCAAAACAAGTTCAGTTTCAGGTAATAGCTGCAAATTCTTTTGTTTTCAAGGCCTAACAATGCAAATTATAATAATGCAAGCCTTAATGCTCATTTGCTGCATATTAAACAGTGTATTTTTTCCCATTACTGATTTGAGAGAGATTTCATTTAACTGCATTTTTAATGGATATTAKCATGTATACACAATGGAGAAAACATGTACAGCTCTTAAAAGGTAAGGTGTTTGAGAAGGCAGTCGTGAGACACACACAGCTTGCAGCTTAAAAAATACATCAGCTCCATTTATCAACCCTGGAGTCTAGTTGTCCTAGAGTGTACAACTGAAAACTCTTACTGAAGGTAAAAAYAGATGTCTTTTTGATCCTAAGAACAGGAAGGAAGAAGAGAATTCATATTATTTTGAATGAACTACTGACATAAAACAAAAATAGTCGTAGTTAACCTTGCAGGTTGTTAAAAAAAAACCACTGTGCTTCTAGCATTCAAGCTTCCTTCCTTCAAATATAATTTTCTCTTCTGAACAGTGCTTGAGGATAAGTTAATTTATAGTGCCACCTTACATCCTGTGACTTAGCAGACAGTTGTTTCCTGTGTTTGTTTCTGTATGCCTATGGATTATTTTTTTTCCCGTTTGGCAGCACCATTAAGCAGTCAGGGGTACATTTATGTAGAACACTGCAAATAGTTGGACTTGTTCCTTGCTAAACCTCTGCTAAGGCTTCTAACATTTTATATGACCTGCATCACCCACTATACCATACACTTTTGTTACAATGGTTCTATTTTCATGTGGAAAAAAGTTCTGAGCTTCACTTTTGTTCTTTGGTGGCACATTCTGTGTAGAAAACTAAGTTTCTTATGTAATTATTCTCCTCTTGTGTGTTACTTAGGCTGCAGAGTGCAGAGAATCTGTTAACTGAACATTTACATGGTGTAGGTTTTTTATTCCACATCCCCTACCAAAGTATCATGAGTATCTGTAGGCACTTTTATTCTGTTTTAAAATGTTCTCATAGTTTTCATTAACTTTCCAGGCAAATTCAGAAATGCATAATATCCTTACCTGAAACGTCTAACTCCTGCTAATAATAAAAATGAAACTTGTCCCAGGCTGTCTTTTTTTTGCTATTATAGTACTGTGTACACTTGTGGCACCGCATACTAAAGAATTTATCTAGTTTAGCAGTATGGGCCAAAATATCACTCTTCATTCAGTTCAGGAATTCTTATACTGAAATAAAGGAAATGTTAACTGTAACTCAATTGGCTCTGTCAGTTTTTCTGTCTCTGTGTGGGTGCACGGTAGATTGTCTTTTGAATACAGCCTGACCTGTTTGTATGTTGCTTATTGACTTATTCTTACAGAAGTTGTTCTTATAGTAAAAAAAAAAAAACTCAACCTTCTAGCTGCTCAGATTTTGTTAATAAGAAAAAAATACGCAGTTGGGTTTTATCTGTTGGAAAGACTAAAGATTTTAGAAGATGCATACTCCAGGCTTTCTAGAGAGAGCTCTTGGCCAGCCCAGCCCA